AAATTCAAGCAATTTCTATTGACCAATTCAGCTCTACAGAAGGTTCTAGAAGGGAAACTTCAATTTGAAGAGATTGACCACACTCAAGAAGTCACAAGGAATGCATAATTCTAGGAGAAAAGCTCTACACTGTAGCAAAATAACAGGAATCAACAGACATTGCTCAATGATAATTATTTTTTAAATTATTTATTTATTATATATGCAATATTCTGTCTAAATATATTCCTGCAGGCCAGAACAGGGCACCAGATCTCACTGTAGATGGTTATGAGTCACCATGTGGTTGTTGGGATTTGAACTCAGGACTTCTGGAAGGACAGGTCATTGAGCCATCTAACTCTTAATATGGGTGGTCTCAATTACCCAAATAAAAAGAAACAGCCCTGCATACTGGGTTAGAAAATAGGATGCATCTTTTTGCTGCCCCCAGGAAACACACCTTATCATCAAGTATAGACATCATCTCAGAGATGGGAAAAGGCATTACAAGCAAATGGACCCAAGAAACAAACAGTTGTAGCAGTTTTAATATCTGACCAAATAGATTTCAAACCAAAGCTAATCAGAAGAGATAGGGAAGGATATTACATACCCACCAAAGGAAAAAATGTCCACGAAGTGTATATTGCAAGTATAAACATTTATGTACCAAACACAAGGATACCAAAGTTCATAAAAGAAACTCAACTGCAGTTCAAAACACATATTGACCCTCATGCACTGATAGTAGGCAACTCCAATAACTCACTCCCACCAATAAACAGGGAATTCAAACAGAAACTAAACAGAGAAATGGTATAGTTAAAACCTATGATTAGTCAAGTGAATATCTACAGAACATTTCACTCAAACAGGAACTTTACAAACTCAAGGAAACTGAACAAGTCACTGCTGAATGAACAATGGGTAAAGACAGAAATCAGTTAAGACATTGATAGCAAAGGCACTAAGAACAGCAGTTAATAAATGGTGTGGGCAGGTGATGTGACGGGTGGGAGGCACATCGACAGACACATCGTATAGAATAGAATTAGATATTTATTAGTTAAATTATGGAGGGGAAGGCAAAATGGGAGAAGGGGGATGAGAGAGAAAAAAGGGAGAGAAAGAGAAGGAAGGGAGAGAAGAGGACAGAGAGAGGGGGAAGAGAGAAGAAGGGCGGGGAGGGGGGCGCAAAGGGAACAGAGAGAGAAGCCACGAAGGCGAGGGAGGGAGGGACTGCAGGGAGTGGGCGTGGCTTGTCTCTTAAAGTGAGAAACAATCATAACTGTCACTCTTCTGGACTCTTCCTTCCCAAACATTTTTTTTTTCTTTTTTCTCAGAAGATTCTTGGTTGAGAATCTTCATTCGCCTTGTAGACTAGAAGAACCTGGTTGGGACATCCCTTAGGAGGACTGAGCAAGGCTCAGCAGAACAGAAGAACCTTGCTGGGATGCTCAGTAAGCGGCTGATCAAGGCTGAGCAGAAAAAGTAACAACGTTTCGTGGGAGCTGCAGGAGATTGGTACATTTCTTCCGGGGCTTTTAGCAGACTGATAACTAAAAAAGTAACATCTTGGGCTGGATAAGAAGCAGGTAACTCTGCTAGGACGTTCCCTTAGGGGAACAGAGCAGAACTCAGCAGTAGCGACTCTCCAGGAGAGGAGCAGGATTGCTGTATCCTGCGGGGAGACCAACCCCCACCGCATTCAAGCTTCAGGTAGCCTGGCTCCCCAATAAGTCATAACACCTTTCCTCCAGAGCTGAGCTATCCTATTGCTGCCCCAACCTCCAGAGCTGTCCTACTGCAGGTCTACCCCTCCAGAGCTGTGCTATTGGGGCTTGATTCCTCTGAAGCTGTCATCTTGCAACTCTACCCCTCCCCCAACTGTCTATTGCAGCTCCGTGTATATCCTGGCTTGCCCGATAAGTCAGGATATCTTTATAGCTCCAGAGCTGTAACTCTCACAGTTCCCACATTGTCTTTTATATGTGTGCTTTTAGTTAATGTTTTATTGCTGTGAAGCGATGCCATGACCACAAAACAATCTTATAAAGGAATACATTTAATTGGGGCTTGCTCACGGGTTCAGAGGTTTAGTCCATTGTCATCATGGCAGCACACAGGCAGGCATGGTGCTGGCGAGATAGTTGAAAGTTTTACATCAGATTAGAAGGCAACAGGAAGAGTGACAGACACCGGCCTGGCTTGAACATTTGAAACCTCAAAACTTGCCTCCAGTGACACATTTCCTCCTTTAAGGCCGCCAGTACTTCAACAAGACAATACCTCCTTATAGTGCCACTCCCTAGTGGCCAAGCATTGAAATCAATGAGCCTATGGAGGCCATTCTTATTTAAGCCACCACAATGTGGATGCTAGCTTTCGAGCCTTTTCGTATGCATGACAGTCTCAATAACCACAAAGTACACAGTCAGGACTAGGGAGGACGAGAGGATCTCCTAAGGAAGGGAAAAATAGAATATATTGTTATTGAGAGACAAAAGTGATGTGGGATGTTTCTTTGTATGTTGTATGTTTTATTACCATTGATTAAAAAAGAAGACGCTTTGGCCTATGGCAGGGCAGAATATATCTAGGTGGGAAATCCACACAGAGATGTAGGGAGAAATAAAGCAGAGTCAAGAGAGATGCCAGCAGCTGATGGAGAAGCAAGATTGAGATAACAAGCCACAAGCTTCATGGAAAAATATAGAATATTAGAAATGGGTTAATTTTAATTGTAAGAACTAGCTAATAATAAGCCTGAGCTAATAGGCTAAACAATTTGTAATTAATATTAAGTCTCAAGTGATTATTCAGGAACTGCTGTGTGGGAGAGACACCTCCAGTTACACAAAAGGAAAACTATAATGGGAGGATTAAATAAAGAAGGTGATGAGAGAGAAAGGTAAAGGAGGGAATATGGGGAAAGAAAACCAATACTAAGGGCATTTCAAATATATGGAGCCATACTACTGTAAAGGCTCGCTAAAAATATACATATATGAAAGGAGTCTAAATGGAGTCACCAAATAATAATAGGGAGGCAATGTCTCAACTAGACATCTCATTTCACCAATGAAAACTTTCAATACCAAGAATGGGTTATATTTTGTTGAGTTATTGGCAAGGAGATTCCATGGAAATCTGCAAACATCACAGACTATTGCCAAGGTTATTGGTTACTTTCCACAACCTAATAGTAAGACACTATTACTGAAGGCTACACTAACATATATCAGTGATCATGGAGAAGTCAAACTGGTGCCTAACTAGAAGTTTTACCACTATGGATTAGCATTCATGGTACCAGAAGGTTTTCTGCATGTTATTCAAGAAGACAGTCAATCATCAATAGCTCCCAGCTATAAATCTTGTAATCTGTGACCGTGACCTGTCTGCAGGATGTGCTGGTGCCACAGTGACACAAGTGTTAAGGGACTAATCAACTACTTTCTGATTGGATTTAAGACCCAGTCTATAAGCTGAAGCCCATACCCAAGGATACTAAAGTGGCGAAGATCCTCAGACTAGGTAGGTCATGGGAATAGGGGAAAATCTGCTACTATTATTTCTACTAAAGGAACAAAACAATAACATGAAGCTAACTGACATGCTGCTAAACCCATAGGTCAGTACTTTGTTCAGTTATCATAGAAGTTACTTCCTGCAATAGATAGGAATTAATACAGAGACCCACAACTGGACATTTCACAGAGTGAAAGACTTTGGAGCACTCAATCCTAAATGGAATATTTTGAGACTCCTACCCTCAGGGGTCAGGGAACTATATGAAAAAGGTGGAAAGACTGTAAGATTCAGAGGAGAAGGATGTCTCCAAGGAATCAAACTGTTTTCTAAACACAAAAGGATAGATGCACACATAAACTCACAGAGACTGTGGCAGCATGCATAGGACATGTATAGACTTACACTGGACACAATCCCAGCACTGAGAAGGGGAAGTGAGCACAGGCTCCCAGCTCTAATCAAGAAGCTCTCTGAAATATAAACTCTCTGGTGAAAGAAAAGTAAGTTTTTGTCAATGGGATCTCATTGGGTGGATTAGAAACACCTCAGAGTAGGTCTCAGGCCCAGGAGTAGTTGGCCAACACAAAATTAACTCAATGGTATTTTTGCAGACTTTTGATCTTACTTTGCTTTACTTGAGCATTTTTTTTGGTCTCATTGGTCTTTTCCTTGTTTCTTTTTTGATTTCCATTTTCGTGCTTTTTGAGTTTTGTTTGTATACATGTTTCTTGTTTTTTATTTTTGTATTCTTATTTGTTTTAAAGAGAGAGAGAGAGAGAGAGAGAGAGAGAGAGAAAGAGAGAGAGAGAGAGAGAAAGATAACCTAAAGTTGGATTGGTAGGAAGCATCTGGTAGGAATGGGGGGGGGCAAACCTGATAAAAATATTGTATGAAAAGATTTTCTTTTCAATTAAAAAATAAGAATTCCCTGTGGGAGAAACAAAAATGGAAACAACAGGCATGGATTCCCAGCACATGCATTGCACCTTTCCCTGTGTGGCGCCTGAATCAAAGGATATTCCAGTGTCATGCTTGAGCAATTAAAGCATAACTCATATTCTATTGTCGTCATGACTATTCAGGGCAATGTCTGAGAGGTATGGGGCCTAGTGACCCAGACCAAGAGTGACAATGGTGTTTTCAACTAAATATTTCATTTAAATGTTCAAATAGGGTGAATTCTATATGGTGAAGCAATTTGTCTCATTCTCATAGTTAACTCTTCATCTTTCTAAATCATACTGTTTTGCCTCTTCTCTAAATTGTATCTTGCATAGCTACTTTTGTGTCCACACAGTACATGGATTTTTTTGTACATGGACTTTTAACATTTAACATTTCCATTTGTGTTCAGTGATCTCTAGACTCAAAGGTACACATTGAGAAATTAATTTACAATGACTACTTCTTAATGAATGAATGACTCACATATGATAAAAATACCCACAAGCAGAGAGAGCTAGCTGTCGAGCACAGCTACTCACCTGTCTGATAAACGGCCACCTATGATATGGCCTGTAAAAAGGCCCATCATGAATACAAATTTAGCCACCGAATTCAGTGCCTGAGATCCACATACCAGGTCCCACTGAAAGAGAAGAAAAGGAGCATGATAACCTGTCATGTAACTTGTTCAGATTCTTCCACATGAACTTCTGGTACCTGCCCCATCTTCCTCTCCAGCTTCTATTTTATCATCACCTGACTTCTACCATCTCATGTCAGCGTAAACAAACCTATTTCTGGGAATCTTCCTGCAATTCTGTTATATTAATGACTTGTAACTTGTGCTAAGAAGTCCTCAAATGGCTAGGCAATGATGGAACATGCCTTTGATTCCAGCACTTGGGAGGCAGAGGCAGGCAGATCTCTGAGTTTGACGCCACCTTGGTCTAAGAGTGAGTTTCAGGACAGACAGGGCTACACAGAGAAACCCTGTCTTGAATCCCTCCCTCCCTCCCGTAAAAGAAGTTCTCAAATATGAAAATATCATGCAGTGATTTTAGACTGTTAAAGAATTTGCTGGATCTTGTGTGTCAGTGCACAATCTCTCACATGACTACTTCAGTTGTGGAGACTGTCACTGACTTTACTTATCTACCTATCTATTTATTGGTGAGGACTTTTAACATTTGTGAAGTATGCTAGCCACTAGCTACATTTTAGTCCATAAAGAAGGTAACATAAGTCTTTTCGGGGGGTGGTAGTGTTAGTGTTTGAATCCTTGACCTCACACATGTTATACAACTGAGCCACATTCCAAGTCAGCCTCTGTAGTTTTGTGTAATCTTCAAGATATCTTAAGTTTGAAATTAAAGGTAATGATACCAACTTGTTATGTTTATGAAGTTCCATGTGAAGTATTTGTTTAACCTAACTTGGCATAAAAATTACTTCCTAAACAATGGCCATCACTATAATAAAAGGACAAGGAGAATAAATTATTAACATTTTCAAAACAACCACTAGATGCATTAAATATGTGTTTCATAATAAGTAGAGAAATTATTACAATGACTAAAAATTAAGGCTATTTTCAAAATGTGCATTTTTTAGGCTTTTAATAAAGTTCTATCATGAATGCTTGATGGGAAAAGGGATTGACTGACCTGGGTCACGGTGGTGGAGAGGAAGGTGCTTCGGTCAAACACCCAACCATCTACACAGGGCTCTGTGTCTGGCTCTGTCACACTGGAGAAGCTGCCATTCAGATGAAGGAGATGCCACTGTGGGTGGACAAAGCGACGGCACTTTTCTGGCCTCAGGTTAGAGTCCAGGGGGATTGAGATCCTCAGGAGGTCATCTTGACTTAGGATCCCACTGTCATTGACAAAGACAGTGTCATTGTCAAGGATGGAAACCCAGCAGCGATGACCAGGAATGGCTGCAGTAAAGTTCTCCAAAAGAGAGTGGGGAAACACCATGCCAACGCAGATCAGAAGGAAAGCCATCTGAAGGATCTGGAACCTCCCTAGACTGCCAACGTGAATAAGAAGGTCCTGAAAGGCCATCTAGGCTGAATCCCTATCTCCAGTGGGAGGCAAAAATGATTATATCTAGGTTTCTAAAACTCTTTTTTCACTAAGACACACTAAACGGGTTGATTCCAAGCTCTTTTTCATGTGTCCCTCTTCTGAGTCAGGGTTAGGTAGGGAGCTGATTGCTCTGGAGCCACCAAGAGAAACAGTCGGATGATTTGCTTTCTGTAATAGAATCTGTTAATGATCTGTTTTGTGAGAAATTTTGTCAGTGTACTGTCCCATACCTACTCTGGACATTGATCTTCAAAGTTCCTGAAAATAGTCAAGTTAACTTACTATTTCAGGCAGTCATTTACAGAATTTGCAATTTCCCAGAATTGAAAGTAAAGTGGTTTTCATTTTTCTGCTTCATGAAAGTTAATATTTTGCTTAGTATTGAATTTGTGTGAAAGAGTTAATGAAAACCATCAGAATTTGGAAGTAAAATGTGGTTGTCCATGTTCTCACCACATCCAGGGTCTGTGTTGATGTCTGTGGCTTCTGTTACCATGGAGGGGTATGTGAATGCAGGGAGTCTGGTTAGCCATCTGAGTCCATGGCATATGAGAGCTGACCCTCCCTCACCTGAGGAGACTCAGCTACCATCAAGATCAACATCCTGGGCCTTGGGTTTGCAAACTCTAGCATCTCTCACTTCTATCACCTTCTGGAGCAAGTGAAGGAGTGGTCCTGCAGAACGATAGCCACAGGATCTCCATAACTTGGAGGCAACAACAGAAGGAGTTTTGTTGAGGGTCCAGTGATGATGGTGTGCCAGAAGCCTTGATCAAGACCAATGAACATTTGTGGGTGGGGCTGACTGGACAAAAGGGTATACTGTGAGTCCCAGGATTTCTATTGCTGTGAAGAGATATCATGACTAAGGCAACTCTTATAAAAGGAAACATTTATTTGGGGAGAGCTTACATTTTCAGAGGTTTAATCCATTAAAATCATGGTGTGACATGGTGGCATGTAGGAAGAGCTGGTGTTGCAGGAGTTGTTACATCTTGATATGCATGGAGAAGGAAGCTGACTGAGACATTGGGCAATACCCTGAGCACATATGAGACTTCAAAGCCTGCCTCCACAGTGACGCACTTCCTCCAACAAGATGACATCTATACAACAAGACCATACCTCCTAATAGTGCCATTCCCTTTGGGGGCCATTTCCTTTCAAGCCACCACACTGTGTGATACACCACAGCTCCAAATAACACTAGCACGGATGGAAAGGTGTTAGAGAGGTGAGAAAGATGGAGGGGTGTGGTAATTTTTGTTTTAAATTAATTTTTTGGGGGTGATTTCTTTAGCAGGGATGCTTCAAGGTGAGGAACAGATGTGGAGGGACTGGAAGGTGAGCAGGATTGGGGTACAAGATGTGAAGTTCCCAAAGAATCAATAAAGAATTATGTAATTAAGTTTTTTTATTCCAAAACTCTGGGTAAGACCGTGGGATTTGCTTAAAAAAAAAAAGGGATGTACACCTTTTTGTGAGATTGACTGGCTCTCCTATGAAACTTGATGACCATTTACCAGATCTCTAGGTCCAGCTCTTTCACAAGCAGTCTGGGTCAAGGTCACAATGACCCTGGTACACTCTGATCAGTTCCCTTATATTGATAAATGTTTGGAAATTTGTTCAAAACTCATTAGCTAGGCTTATGATTTGCACTTTTAGGGATTATCCTACTGTTTGGGTTTCTAAAACCTCCTTACTCACCTCTTGCCACCTGTCCTGCCACTTTGGAAGTCTAGGGCCATCTGTTGGCTTCTCTTGCCTTTCCCTAAAACCTACATTCACTTCTCCCATCCTCAGGTCAATCTTTCCAGTCTCACTCTCCTCTCTCCAACCTCAGACCCCTCCATCCTTTCCCACTAAACTCTATACACTTCTGCCCTCTACTCCATCCCTTTACCCCCACTCCCCCCTGGATCTATATCACTTATCTCCTTCCTCTCTCCCTCTGTCACCCTCAGAATCCCGTCTGTTGGGGACATCCCATTCCTCACACCATCCACACTGCCTTGGCCACTTTTGGTTCTGGTTGAGCACCTATCATGCTCTGGACTCAGAGACAGTCCTGGCCTCTATCTTTCTCCTGTGAGAGACCCCACACCTTCCTGGAAGTGGAGTAGGAACAGACTTAGGGGTAGGGATCTACCCTTTTCTAATCTGTGCTCCCTTTTCTACTTCAGATCTGTAAGACTAGAATGCCCTTTCCTCTTTTCTGACAAACTCAAAGCCTTAACTTTCCTTCTGGCATCTGTCCTCTGCACCTATAGCCTGACCTGGGATGGTTGCCAGTAACTCCTTCTTGCTCTGTTTTCCTAGGGGAAAAGAAACATATTGGGACCGAGTCAATGAAGGTCTTTATTGCCTTAACTGCTGATACAGATACTGTTGTGGTTTGAAAGAAATCGGCCCCCAAAGGGAGTGGTGTTATAAGAAAGTGTGGCTTTGTTTGAGGAAGTGTGTCACTGTGGGGGTGGTCTTTGAGGTCTTTTTTCTGCCTTTACTCAGTGTGACATTCAGTTGACTTCCTGTTGCCTGCAAGATCTGGCTCTCTCAGCTTCAACACCAAGTCTGCCTGCACACCGCCATGCTCCCCATGATGGTGATAATGGACTGAACCTCTAACAGTGTAAACAAGCCACCCCAATTAAACAGTTTCTTTATAAGACATGGTGTCTCTTCACAGCAGTAAAAACATAACCAAGCAGAGGTTGGTACCAGGGACTGGGGGTATCGCTGTGATAGGTCTGACCTTCTCCTCCTCCTCCTCCTTTTGTTTGGAGTAATATGGACTTTGGTTCTTTGGGTAAAGAGAGTAGTGGAATTATTTAAGCACTGCTTAATGGGCCATACTAGTAGAAGAAAGGAAGAAAATGGTGTTGCTGCTGTTTGGAAATGTTGTGAGCTGACTTAAGAGGTTTCAGAGAAGAATTTGAGTGTGTTGCCTAGAAATCATTCTTGTAATGTTTTGGTGAAGGAAGTGACTATCTCTTGCCCTTGTCTGAAGAATCTGTCTGATGCTAAATTGAAGATTTTTGGATTAATTCCATTTGCAATAGAAATCTCAAATATTCTAGTACAGCCTCTGTCATGACAAGATTCCCAAACCATGTGGTCAAAGCTGCCAAGTTCAGCTGCATATGGGAGCTGAGACATGCTCCCCCCGCATTCAATTACATCTTCACTAGCTTTCTATCTTTTATTGCCTATGGTCTGACTGACCTGAAACAGGATTTCTAGACCAGGCTGACCTTAAATTCAGAGACCTACCAACCTCTGTCTTCCCAATGCTGGAATTAAAGACATGCATCACCTCATGTATCTCTAAGTTTTTCTTTAATTCCTTTTCACAAGTTGGAAGCTTAGCTGGGTGGGATCTTGTCCTGATGTTACTACTCCATTCATTACATGTTTAATTTGCTTGTCTCCTTGAACACAGGTTCAGCTCTATTCCACTTTCTGGTACCCCCTTTCTCCTCAAGTATTTTTCCTTGCTCAGTTTGCTCTTTTCTTTCTTTTCTTTTCCTTTTTTTTTAAAAAAAGAAAACAAACTATCTTTTCCATTTTACATACTGATCCTAGTTCCCACTCTTTCCCCTCCTTCCATTCTCTCCACCTTTCCGTCTACTCCACAGAGAGGGTAAGGCACATTGATTTGAGGAAGGACCAAGGCCCTCCCTACTATATCTAGGTTGAGCAAGGTATCCCTCCAGAGAGAATGGGTTCCAAAAAGCCAGGGCAAGCAGTAGGGATAAATCCTGGTGCCACTTCCAGTACCACTACAGTCTGCTCCAGTCATACAGCTGTTACCCACATTGTCTTATTGACTGTGCCCTTTGCTTTACAGAAGCTTCTCAGTTTTAGGAGGTTCCATTTATTTATTGTTGACCAGGAGTCTCACTGGTTCTCTTTGGTCTCCATCTCAGCTCCAGGCTCATTAGTAAAATCCTTAGAATGGGAAAAGTATGAGTCCAAATATCTAATACCCTTCTCTGGCTTCTGCGTACATTAATATGTTACATGTGTATAATGATAACAATATACTTCATGTGTTTTACATAAAGGCAACAAATCTTCTAGTGCATCCTAGTAGAGCTGATCTTTGTATCTAGATTAGATACAAGCAGATTTGAATCTACCTTATGAAAGGATTTAGGAAAGACTCCTATGCCAAGCTCAGTGACCAACTGGGAAAAAAGCCTAGATGTCTGACTGCTATTTTGCTTTCGCCATCATAGACCATTGACACACAAGTCCCCCTAAGTGGGAGGTAGAGTGGTTACTCACTCATTTTCCACATCTTGGATGGAGTCAGGCAGAGGCTGATTCTTGGTCTCAGGAAGGAAAAGAGGGACAAGGCCACCAAGAAAGGAGAAGTCTCCAAAGATGATCCAGGGCAGGAAGACAGAGTACATGTGAGGATCATAACAAGGGGAGACAGAGCTGCCCCAACATTATTAGCAATTCCAATGACTACTAATGTTCTTGCCCTTAGAACATAAAACAGAATTCAGGGGAAAAAATCTAGCAAAATTGACTTCATTGCATTTGTGACTTAGCATCCTGCTAAGGGCACAAAGACAGCATACCCCAACAGGTTCTGGGATATGTCCAAGAGACCAAGCCTGAGAGTTCATGGTATAGAAAAAGAAGTAAAATGTAATGGAGTAGACAGACCATTAAGTAAATTATAGCAGAAAGCTCCCCAAATGTATAGAAGGCAGACATCCAAACATACATATAGAACTCCAATCAGACATAATCAGAAAAGAAATACTCTGTAACATGTTGATATGGGAGTTCAGCCAATCACATTCTGTTCATGGGGCGTGTCGCCCTTAGGCTAAAGTTTACCTATAAACCTGGCGAGTGCACTTCCTCTAGCTCTCTCTCACCTGGCTCCTGCGTCCAGACGGATCGTTTGGATTCTGGTGTAAGCTGGTGTAAGTCTTACTTCTGTTTATTAAAGCTGTATATTTTGTATTAAGATAGTCTGGGGACTTTTCATTACCGATCGCCCTGCGGCATTAACATGTTATAGTCAGTATGCCAAAATACAAGTAAATAAAGAATCCTTAAAGGAGCAAGAGAAAGGCATCTACTCACACACAAAGTCAGCAATGTC